GTTGCTCTGTCGTAATTTCTTTCAAGTATCTAGTTTTCAGCCTTGAATTCTCCCAAGTTTTGGATAAGACTGTTTTGATATAAGAATTTACTCTGAACTTAAAACTCGTGGGTAGTGTATGCTTGATCTAAGTCTAGATAATTGATGGATATGATATGAGAAGGTCGGAGCTGCTGTTTATCTTGTTCCAAGTGATACTAAAGTTTTGGAGGTTTATCTTTTGAAAAACATAAAAATGCTTCATGATGAGTTCCTATATGACAAAGCTTGAATTCCTAGCAGAGCCATATATGTTATTTAGAATAGAAAAACTTCCACATATATGCTGCTTGTTTTGCATTGAGTTTAGTCAAGCTTTGTTGACCCTTATGAGAGGTTTGTCATGCTCTTAAAATTAAGATTACGTACACACCACCCATATATGCACTACTCCTACATTAGGGGTAAGCGCAAAAACATGCCATTCCATCTGAATCCACCCAAAAATGCTTTACTCCTACACTAGGAGTAAACACCAAAAATATGCCTGATAGGATTTTCCACCAAATCAATGCTCCAAGTTCTTGTTGTTATCTTTCAAAAGGTTTGTTGTAGAAAAGAAGCATGGGGCTATGCAAAAGTTATTCATGAAAAAAAGAGAAAATAAAAAAAGAGATAAGAAAAAATGAACAAGTGTCCGAGATATCTAAAACAATGGGTACTCAAATGCCTGCCTGTAAAAAAGAAAGAGATGAATAAGATAGCCCATGTTTTTCTTGCAAAGTATTTTCTAAAATTTAAAAGAGAGATGTGTTTTCAAGGAGCATAGTAGAATTAAGTTAGCCACCATATATATCCACACACATGTACATCTTGATTTGATTGTATGACTTAACTCTCTTTGGATCCGATGTTTGACTTTACAATATATGTATTGGAAATATGCTCTTTCATGCTTTCTCCACTCCTATAAGCTCCACATAAGCCTTAGTTGTAGAAAGAGAAAGGCATAACATCACTATTGCTTTGGTAAGGATCCACAAATACCACATATATTGAGAGATTTAAGAGTGTCATACAATGGAAGCTCTGAGTTTTATTTTAAAAACTCATAAAAACTCTAGAATAATGTTTGAGCAAAGAACTTGAGACATAGTGCTTGACTTGATCGTTCTGTCTTTCAATTGCTCAAGACTCAAGTGAAGGCTAAGAAGACCCATGGTTGAAGGTAATATGGGTAAGTTTGAAAGTCAGATCGGTTTATTCTAATCTGAAGGAGAATTTTTGTTTGAACGCGTGTGTACTTTTGAGGAGTTGCTTCAATATTTTTAAAAATCCTAAAATTTCTGAGCCATTTACTGAGTTTAGCTTTGCTCAAGGACGAGCAAAGGTTAAGCTTGGGAGGGGTTTATTGACGGTAGTTAACAACCATTATAAACCATCAATATAACAAGTATAAGGGCATAAATATGATCACCAGCAAAGGTCTAGGGGTTTAAACTAACAAATTCCATGAGTTTTGGTGAATCTATATTTTTTGCAGGGTTTATCTAGAAAACCATCAAGGTGGACCTAGATATCAGAATTAATCGCGCTTATCCATAGCGTAAACGACCCTAGAAGGTTCCAGAAGACTCGAGAAGATACCACACCAAAGCGGAGGGTGAGACGCTGCCAGGTGGGGCCGGTTGGCCCTACCTACAGGCTGAACGGCCCCTGGGGCCCACCTGTCAGCCCTCCGTTGCTACATCAGTTCTCCACCGCCTTAAGGATTGCATCTACGTCGTTTATTCAAGTTGGTTTGATCCGAGGGCTCAGGATTGATGCTTCAGCCTATATATATATATATATCAGCCCCTACCACCCCCAAGGATCATATCATCAAACCCTGATAAAGTCAGTTGAGAAGACATAAACCCTAATCATCCTTAGAGCTCCATCATATTCTAGGACATAGCTAGTTAGGCTAGGGCTAGAGGGAGCCAAGCGGGTTTCGCTTGGATTTCTGATCATGTCAAGAGCGTGATTTGGTATAATCTTTATACCCTTCTCTTTTGTATCTCTCATTACTTTTATATGTTTGCTACAATTGTTATGACATTATTATTCATATCGTTTATGTTCCTAATTCTCATGTTCATCATCTACTTTGATTATATGCTTAGTATAGTTGGATTGTCAACATATTCATACATAAGTTCATATTGCGCTCGCCCTGGTGTACACGGGGTGAGTGGTCGACATTGTATAAGCGTGGTGCTTATATGTTGTTTACCTGTGGATACACCCTATATTTTGGGTCATGTGGTAGATCGCGGATGTGACACTCCCGTTAAGTCCTTTGTAGTCCACTCTCCGAATATAGGACAAGTAGGATCTAGTTACGAAGAAAGACAAGCTTTGTTCTTAATCTTCCTTAGTAATATCCCTTATGTGTAGATATGAAGTTGATCTTAGCCATGATTACTAAGTGTAATTGCACTAATCAATGTATGCTTTGACTTGTAATTAAGAATGATTTGAAATTGTTTCTCTAATATTCTATTTAACCATGCTAATGCCATAGAAAGGAGTACTCTGAGTGATCATTGATTAGTTATTATGCACCATTCATATATACATTTACCTCTTGACTTACCCCTGTTGTGAGTAAAATATTGGTTATGGTTTACTTCTCCGTCAATAGCATAAGTTATCAATACATGTTCTTGCCAGACCTTCCCTGTGGTAAAAGTATAAATAACGATACCTAGAATACTCCGAGGTGAAGTGCTACAATGGTATATTATCTGTGCGCTTGCAGATTACTTTCATTCATATATATATATATAGTATTACTATATGGTAACTGGGTAATAGGCCCACCGCGCCCGCACCCCGCCATTTGGGGCTGAGGCTTACAGGCCCGGTCCACCAACGGACGAGCTCGATTGGCATAGTAGCTCGGGAGCTGCCCCAACCCACCCTGGATTAGATGCAGTTTCAATTTCCTCGCCCCCATCCGCTCGGTGTCTTCCTTCCCTTCGTACGCCGGCACCGCCCGTCCGCCCCCTCTCCCTACGACCGCTCGCCTGCTCCGGACGAACCCCCGCCGGCGCCGCAACTCAACCCAATCCCGCCGGATCCTATCCGCTCGCCTGCTCCGGACCAATCCCCTCTGGCTCTCCTCCTCAACCCACCTCCGCCAGACCCTCGTCCGCTCGCCGCCAGTGCCGCCCCATAGCCCACCGGCACCGGTGCAGCCCCCGCCGGTGTCGCCCCACAGCCCACCGTCGCTGCCCTGCTTCGCATCCTTGAGGCCTTGAGGGGACGGAGACGAGACGCCGCCAGTCGCACCTTGCCGCCGTCGGCCGTGGCCTGCTGCAGCTGCTTGAGGGTGTTGGAGAAGCAGACTTTCACGGCCACGGTGGTGTTCGGCAGCCGCAGCGCGCGGGAAGTCCATGTCTTGGCCAGCAGACGTTCAACTGCCGCGTCCCCTCCAGGTACCGGGACTTCACCTTGTCATTGTGGTTCACATTTATAATTCTTGCACTTTAATTTCTCATTTTTCTTCCACCCGTGGGATATTATTTTCCACATTAATTTCTGATTTTTCTTCTTCCACCTGTGAGAGGTTCTTCCCTTGGAACGATGGCCACCAAGCATCCACCTCCATTTGCAGCAGCTCGCAGTTCCTCAAATCAACATTTGTAAATTTAAGCTGTATAGTATAGGAATGCGGTATTCTAAATAGATTCTGACTCAATGTCTTCAGATTCCGGTTGGAGTTGGTTGATAAGATGCTTGAGAACCTAAAAAGGATTGTATTTGAGAGCACACAACAATGGTAAGTACATGTTTTTTTAGTGGCCTTTTCATGTGTTGGAGCTGCTTTTCTCTCTAGGATGATGTTAATGTGATTATTCCCCATTTAGATATGAGGTCCCAGAAGGGCGGGCCTGGTGCAAGCAGTAGAGTCTTACCGCCTGTGACCGGAAGGTCCCGGGTTCGAGTCGCGGTCTCCTCGCATTGCACAGGTGAGGGTAAGGCTTACCACTGACACCCTTCCCCAGACCCCGCACAGAGCGGGAGCTCTCTGCATTGGGTACGCCCTTTAGATATGAGGTCCCTCTGCGACAAGAAAAGGTTAATCTGTTGCAATATGGAATTAGTTTTTTCTAAATGAATAGACAAAACTAGGTACATTCATTTACAGCTTATCTAATCTTGTTTATGATTCTTTTCTTTTTAAATTTATATGTAAATGATCTAATGCATGGACACATAATTAGAGAACAATTTAATATACATGGATTTCAATTTTGCTATCACAAATCACCAATATTCTTTCATTGCACTTTGGCTTGTCATTTTGTCAATTACCATTGTTCACCTTATTCTGGAAGCTCACAAGATTTTCAATTCTTTAAAAGCATCTACCTTGTCCTGCATTTAACAATGGTCAATGGCACTTTCAATTGCACATGTATAAAGGATCAATGTTTTGCCATCTGCATCCATGTGAATATGTTTGAAGTTCTCCTTTGGCTGCCAAAAAACGATCTGGATATCGAACCTTGATCTTTGCTCCCTCTGATTCCAAGTTGTTGTAGGATCTCTGTTGTCAAATAGTCAATTTATTTAATCATCAATATGTCAACATTTGTGTATATTGAGAACATAGAGTTAGTACTTCTGGATTCTTCATTGAAAACACATTTACATTTAGGGAGGGTTTGATATTTATTATTGGAAAGCACATCATTTCTCTTCTACCTGTAATCTGCCTCCCTATACTAGTATTTCAGTTCATGCTAGCTTATAGAAATTGATACGTGGTTATATTCATGAATAATTGTGTGGAGCAGCTATTCTTATAGTGGCCATCTAGTGCTGCATTCCTAGTTGCCAAATATCTAACAATTTTACAAATATTATCTTGCCACCTTATTATATCCGTTCTTTTTTGCAAGAGAGCAGCAGCTCCATGTTGTTCAAATTCTAGCATGCATATTATATAGAGTTTTTTTCATCACTTAGCCATGGCCAGCTGTTGCCCTTTCAGCTCTCTGTATGGTAGAATGCTTTTGTGCACTTTACAGATGTGTTGACTTATCATGTATTATTTATGCTTGGTGATAAATTTGCTCAGTCTATTGAACTAAAAGATTTGATCTTACAAATTTTATCTAGCTAATTACAATGTTTTTTTTGCAACAAAAGATTCGTGGCTTGAAATGTGATTTGTGGCTTGAATAGGTTTCCATACACGCAAGGTATCTTTGTTTCTTGGTTTCCAGTACATGTTAATAGCATGCCCTTTAACTATGATATTTAATTTTTCTCCCAATATGATTTTTCTATATTAAGTTTTAGCTCCCTCTCCCATCCGCTCGGTCTCCTTCCCTCCCTCCGCCAGCACCTCCCGTCCCTCCCTCTCCGTACCACCGCTGCTGCACCGCTGGCCATCTATCCGCCGTGCCTCCCGCCACGCCGCCCCACAGCGATGTGCCGCCGAACACACACGTTGATTGCCGAGCTTGCATCATTTTGGATGGAGCCGCCCGGTCCCTCAGGTTTCCTTTACCCTCCTTATTCATGCATCTCGCTTTGATGCCCCATTAAGGTAGTGTCAAATTTGTTTGACTATTTAGATTCCCTGATATGGTTACTGTTTGTTAAAGAATGATTACTGTGTTTTCACTTCATTTTTTATTTTTCCTTTTATTTTAGTTTTGGTAAGCATTATGCAGATATAATTCTTCAACATCCTGTTGAACTTCATTAATTCATTGTGCGATGATCTAATTGGTTTCTTACAACCATACACATTGATTCAGCTTTGCCTTTTTTTTCAGAACATACACGTATGTTTTTACTTATGGCGTGATTATAGTTTCATAAAGCAATTCTATTTATTCTGCATTTGCAGAGGATGCCCATGCCGGAAAAGGCCCTGGTTCGTCAACTAAAGGGTTCTTTTTTTTCATTTCCCCATTATGTTTTACTTATCTTATTTTAGACATTCACATTGAGTCAGCACTTGCAACTACATTGTTATGTGGATTGAGTTTGTAAATTTAAGCTGTAGACTATACGAATGCAGTATTCTAATTAGATTCTGACTCAATGTCTTCAGATTCCGGTTGGAGCTAGTTGATAAGATGCCTGACAACCCAAAAAGTCTTGTATTTGAGAGCACTCAACAACGGTCAGTACATGCTTTTTTTTAATTTTAGTGGCCTTTTTCATGTGTTGTACCTGCTTTTCTCTGTACGATGATGCTAATGTGATCATTGCCCATTTAGGTATGAGGTCCCTTTGTGACAAGACGAGAGGTTACCCTCCTCTCCTCGTAGAACCTCTGCATCGGCTCCACCAAATAGAGGTGCAAAGGGGAATGGCTGTACTATAATTTTAATCTGTTATAGTATGGAGTTAGTATTTTACAAATGACTAGACAAAATTAGATACATTCATTTACAGCTTATCTAATCTTGTTTATGATTTTTTTATTTATATTTATATGATCTGATGTATGTACACATAATTAGAGAATAATTTAATATTCATGGATTTTAAATTTTGCTATCTTAAATTTCCATTATTCTTTTCATTCCACTTCGGCTTGTCCTTTTGTTAATTAACACTTTTCATCTGGTTCTGAAAGCTCACAAGATTTTTCTATTCTTTAAAATCATCTACCTTTGTTGTTTATTATTTTCCTTGTCTGGTCACGACAGTGATGACGACGACTTCATGCCCATTCCCAACGCCCGTTCATCCTCACACATCGACAAATCTAAGGATGTTGGTCCGAGGAAAACTAGGCAAACACGAGCAAGATTGTCGACCGGTGCATGTACAGAGGTGTATACCATTTATTTACTTCTGCACTTTCTTTTCATAAGAGTAATCATTCTAAAGCTCCTCTTCGTATGTATCACTAGTTTGTTTTTTCCTTCAATATACCAAAAATCTACTATCATGTCTTCGTTGCCAAATCTCTACTTTTCTATATCTGTTTTGCTTTCTACTACCCCTGCAATTTTTTTTCAACTACACTATCCCTGCATTAGTTTATCATTCCTACATCCCTTTCCCCAATTATTAGTTTTTTTAAAATCTGTCTTCTTCTCGACTACCCATGCATCAGTTTATCATTTCTACAGTGCTTCCCAGAATTCCGAGTGTCACTTCTTTTTTATCCATTCTTGTCCTTCCTATTTCTAAAATTCTTGTTATTTGTCCTAGGCAAGACAAAGGAAAAAGAGAGTTACCTGCCGTTCTTCCATTGTAAATGTTTGGTGCAATCCCAAAGATGTTATTTTCACCACTAACTTGTTGAATCCACAGCAATATGCTGCTATCGAAGCTGATGGGTTTGGTCATTTGCTGAGAATGAAGATCGATGCTGTAGAGAACAAGAATCTGCTAACCTGGCTATTGGACCACACTGACCCCGATCGTATGCTAATTAGGATTGGTGCAGGCAAGGTCCTTCCGATCACCCCACAAATAATTAGCATGGTTCTTGGTTTGCCTATAGGTGGTGAAAACTTCGAGCAATACTCATGGAAGGAAGGTATCATATTTCGACAGCAGCTTATCTCTGATCTTAACCAAAGTCTCACTGAAGATTGTGACATACATATATAAAACCTGCAACAACAGATCTTAAAGGGAAATGTGAACCCCCTCATGAAGAGATGCTTCTTCATGATACTTTGCAACAGGATTCTACTTCCCAGCAGCAGTAATACCATTGGTTCAGTTGATATCAAGAGGACAATGGATCACCAATTGTTCAGAGTTGTTGACTGGTCCCAGGCTGTATTCAATGATCTTCAGATAGCTGTTCGCAGCTGGCACGCCTCACCTTTTATGATAATGCTTTGATAGATCGCTTAACTGCTGCTGATACAACTATAACCACTGATGGTGCACATACTTTTGGTGTCGAACCTGTGAGTCAGCTATCTTATCTGTTATATTCCAATTCTTTTTTACAACCATATTATTAAGAAGCTTGTTTTCTTCGCTTCAACGCTATCTCTAACAGTTCAAGCCATGGAGTACCACCTGCTATGCTGCTGCAGATGTCCGTGGTGCTCCCTATCATAACATAAATGTTCCTGCAGCAGGAATACCCAATTTAGACATCCCACGCCTCCAGGATTTTTTATCTGAGCCGATAGATGATTTGACTGGCCCGCATAGAGAGAGAGTACGGGGTTTCTTTTTTGAGTTTGATCACACACTCTCTCAGAACAAAAGGTCCATTGAGAATTCTATTGCAAACATTGTGAGAGCCCAGTTTCTAGATGATCTGCCTATGTTCAAGTTTCCTGGAAAGAGACTAACCAAGAAGCCATCCAAGTTTTATTCACCCTTCAAGCATGGCATTCTGTCTCGTCCTCCACCCAATTTATAGTTTTCTTTGCGTATGCATGCCTTCCTTTGTGCAGATGTCTCTCCATTGAAAAGGTTCATTCTGATTTCATTTTCAAGCTTTCATTCTTTTCCTTCCATACTCCAGAATGCTTGTTGAATTCCATTCATGAAAACTTTGATGCACTTTGGGACAGAGTTATTGGCTGGCCGAGATATTGCACTTTCCTTTGGTGTTGGGAAATTCATAGACCCTGTGTTCATGGATGCATTTATCAAATGCATAGCTAAAGATGACTTTAATGTTCATCCTGAATGCCATGGGTTCAGAATATTCCTACAACCTCTTGTCTTGGTACGTCCCCCTCATTTTTCAAACTAATCATTTCAAATTTTATTTTCTGATTACAACATTGATAACAATCCAATCATACTGTATAGGATATTCTTAAGTCAGACTCCTTCAGTATTCACAAAACTCAGCCTCAGTGGAGCCAGGACATTGTACTAGAAGCTATCAAGCGATGCCTCCCCACGACTGACTGACAAAAGGCAAAGATGGTATGTGTATCATGAGTACATTTTTTTTCTTTCTTTCTTTCATCCCAGTAGTATACTGCTAAAATCATATTTCTTTCGTATACACATCTTGCATATATTCCTTCCGGTTTTACATCTTAGTCACTGGTCTGTATATTGTATCAATCTTGGCCAATACCGTGTCGATGTCCTAGACTCAATGAACTATACTTCTAACAATGAGGTCACATGGGATACATATCATTCACCTATGGGCCAAATACTCATGGAACGCCTTAGTGTTGCACTATCTTTAGCTGCACCCCGCAAATTCCCCAATTTTGCAAACTGGAGACGTGTACCAATTCGGGTTCCATTTCTAAATAATCTCTGCGAGTTGGCATATTCTCCATGAAGTTCATTGAGTTCTATGACGGTGAGGGCCATGGTTCTCTGCACACTACTATAGATGGAATCATTTTCCTTGTTAATATATCCCTCATTTTATTTTTCTTCTGTCTAACCTTTTTTCCTTGCAGGATTGATCAAAGGAGATGAGGGTAGAAATGCTACAATTTTTAGCCTTCCATACTGCCAACAAAGTCCATGCTCCTCCTGAGCTTCTTCAGTTTCGTATTGGACCGTTCCATCCTTCTTTCCATCCTCTTTTTTATTAGTGGAAGGTAGCCTTATTCATGAAGGTGGTTGACAATCTAATCTTTCACAACCTCAAGGTCCACTGCCAGAATGTGCATTTATTTTGTCTGACATCCCAGTTCCAAGAAGAGAAGTTCATCCACAACTAGCTCCAAGCCTGGTTGGGTAGCAGCAGCTAAGGAGAACAAGAAGACCAAGGTGGCATGTGAAGAAGCAACAGGAAACTCTAAGGATGAGGCCAAGTTATTTTAGATGCAACAAAATTAGCTGGTCACACTTTTGGACACTGAATTACACTTTATAGCTTTTGCGCAAGGCTTTGAGTAGTTCTGTCTTGCTTTTTTGTTCATATCAGCAGCTTTTGTAAAGTTAGAATCATCAAAACAATATAAATGCTATGCTGTGCTTATCAGGTTTGACGCATTAAATTTTTTTGATGGAATCCTGTTCAACCGTCATACATTCAGCTAATATGGATGAGTTAAACCAAGATGGGTACTATTAAGATGCAAGAAATTCTCTATTACCTGAAATTAAATTGGATAAATTTCTATTACTTGAAAATGTTTTTCATTCTAACTAGTGTCATCCACTCCCTGGCAGCACTTACTGCTGCCAGCACTTCTTCTGAATCTAGTTGTGCAGCCACTCTTTAGGCATGCAATATGCTGTTTGATAGATTAAAGCCAGTCTTGGATAGGCTGCACCAGCAATCTGAAAATGTCTCATGGGATACTTTGATGTCTGAGGCAAGTTTATCTTCCTCATGTTTGTGCTAATGCTTTGTACAATACTATTTCCTGCTGTAGCAGCAAAAAAAGACAACAATTTGAGCAATAAGGGCATTGATGTATTGAAAGGTAAATGTTGTGGCCGCCGGCGCCGTCCGCCAATCGCCCGGTCAATGTCGTCATCATCGCCTTGTGGGGGTGCCAAATCCAGTTGCGGAGTGCCAGAAATAGGCATGGTAAAAAATAATATTTGCATTCAAGGGCCACAGATGGTTGCGGACCACACAATTTTGAAGGGTGAAATACTCATGCATGTAATTAATTATAAGTGTTAGATAAATGGTCATGCATGTAATTGATTATAAGATGGAAAGGCGTGTTGTTTACTTGAATAATACACAATTGTATGCATGTAATTACTGTTCATATTGTGACTGAGTTTCAAACTAGGTCAGCTTCATCAACATTTTCATCATCATCATTTGAATTCCTATGAATTTCTATGTAAGAACGGTCTTCCAACAGCCTCCTCCTTTCCATCGGCCTTTCCTCCTACATGTTCCTATCATTTCCATGATCAGACTTGTTTTTCTTGTTCTTTGCTCCTGTAGGTCTGCCCCTCTTTTTATTCTTTTTCGCTTCAAGGCGGTCTTTATTCTTTTCCAACGTTGGGCATGTCACTGAGTTTTGTGTTGAATAGAGGTGACAAACGCTGAATCTTCTGTTTCCCTTCTTCTCGCCTTGTGCTCCAAGAGTGACTTCATTCTTTTCTGATGATGTCTTGCAATGTCCCTTTGTCTTTGCTTGAGGTGGTCGATCCATTGAAATCCCCGTCTCCTGTGTTACGACGACCTGTCCATGTTTTTATCATAAAAAATTGCTCAACCATAATATATTATTAATTCTTTAGTGACTGCCCAGATTGTCTCACATTGTGTGCTCCTATAGTGTTCTGGACACTGGACTCCCTATTCTCTCTCCCATCCCATCTTCCTTTTCCAACTCCCTGCAGTTCAATAATCATTTACTCATTGTCAGTTAAAATTTGACACATACAATTATTATATGCACTCCAATTCCAAGATTCATCCAATTTGAATTTACCTCTGCTGCTGCTCTATCAACATGATCATGACATGTGTCAATTACTGTGCCAAGTGCATTATTTGTTTGCCTGCTCCCCTGCTATCGAAGAAAATAATATTCATTTATCACCATCGTTATTGTCACAATGCCACCTTGTTGGATGGCCCAAATAAAAATTAATTACCTGTGTACCCTCTCCGTGCCCCCACACATCATGCTGACCCCCCTCTCCCTATCATATTGCCTAAATGTTTCCTGTGTTTCACCAACATTACCACAATTTTCATAAAAAAAACTTTATAACTTGGAACCATTACCACACACTCTCAAGTTGTATTCCTTCCTGTCGCATTTGAATTTGGCCCAATATCATGCGGGACGTCTTTTATTTCATTGAACAGGCTATCCATTACTTCAATTGCTCTTTGGAACGCAGCATTCGACATGGTACCTGCTTGCACAACTTTTGTGCTCTTGGTCAATAGCAACTTTGTTCTATAGCTTGTTGTGTTGCCATCGGCTCCTGTCAAATGCTTGTCTTCCTTGCTAAATGCCAATTCATTTCTTGCAAACTTGGTGTATCGCTTAAAAATGTACTTCACAGGTATTTTATCAACTTGAATGTGAATGAAGGTCCGCAGCAGATGCACGCAAAATAGGTCTACATGGTACGATTTCAACATCCTTATGACTTAGCAGAGTACACCAGTACAAGATTAAGAGATAAAAAACTAATGTTCAAATATTTATGATACCTGTGTGTTCCCATTCTCTGAACTCGCAGCTTAAATCACCGTTCTCTTTGTCTGCCCTAACTTTGAATTTGTGTTGCCCCCATGTTATCTTCGCAGTCTTGTTTGTGTGACATACTAGGTAGCAATTTCTTCCCGCTTCAGTATTGTCCTCAATCTTATATGCAGTGCAGTCTACTATTTTCTTCTCAAAGTCTTTAAACACATTTCTAGTGTAAATTCTTCCCATTTGTATCTCGAATTCCCATTTGCTCTTTGTAAGCGTCTTGCTCTGCATCACAAAACAACACACCTACATTACAGATTTCACTGAAACCAATAATGCTTTCTTATATTATGGGTTCAAAATTTGTTTACCGTTCCCTGGTAAGTCTCTGCAGATACCTTCATCTTCCTTGTATGCACAAAATTCAGCACTTGCTTTGCAAACCAGTGCAATGCTGTTTTCTTTCCCACAAAACATTTCTTCATAATAAAATTAGTGTTAGTGCTTTCGCTGCGCTGTGTAGAAGCCATTCTTCCACAATATTCACCTTTGAAATACGCTGGGATATACCTGCTGCGTTGATCATAAAGGCTCTGAAGTGCACTATTTTTTTCTAGATTAAATTCTGTTATTAGTTCCTTCCATGCCTCCTCGAACTCTCCTGGTGTTAGTGGATGGTTTAGCACAGAATTAAAATTTTCCTTGAAGTCTTCTTTCTCATACATGCTATACAATTCATTCAGGTTCGCTGATAGTTTGTTGACTACATGCCACCTTCATATTTTGTGAGTTATCCCTGGAAACTCCTTCTTGATTGATGCTTCCATTGCTGAATCTTGGTCTGCAAGTTTTGTTTCACATGCTTTCATTTAAATCATGAAAATTGATAGTATATCATGAAACCACATTACACTTGGTTATTCCAAGCAACTAAATCTATCATATAAATAACCTTATGCAAAAAATAAAAAATTGGATACCTGTCAGAATACATCTTGTTCATTTTTTTCCCATGCATTTTTTAAATGCTCTGAAAACCCACTTGAATGTTTCCGTTGTTTCATCTCCGAGTAGTGCACATCCAAAAACAGTGTTATGGAGGTGATGGTCAGAGCCAACAAACATAGCCAGTGGTTTATCATAAACATTTGTTTTATAGGTTGTATCAAATGACATTGCATCTCCAAAATCTACATATTCCCCTTGCATGCTGGCATGACTCCAAAATATGCTGTGTATACATCCATTCAAGTCAACCTTTGCCTCCCAGCGGAATTGAGGGTTTTCTGCCTCACAGTCTTTGAAGAATTCCACTTGTTGACGTCGTTTGCATGCTCCGCCTCATATTAGCCGTCTTTCTGCAGGTTAGTCGTACATAAGCTCATCACATATCGACAATAATTGAAAAATATATTATGTTTTGCCACTCACCGGCTTTCCAAATCTCGATCTGTCATCGCTATATTCTCCTCGCCTCCATGCATATCTCTTAATATGTTTCTAATGCTATGGTTAGGAACGTCATTTGATTGTAAGTCATCAACATATTCTAGAAGCAAAGGAATCTTATACTTGTGCGCCCTCATCTGTTTTGTTTCTGTAGGTTTTGGGAGCAACACGTGGTTATGGTTCAGTCTGACATCTGTAATCTCGCAAATTCTTCACTATTTTCTTTGTCGCGTCTAAACTTTAGCTTGATGAATGCCGAGGCATGGTGTCTTCTTTGTTGTCTTGCCCCTCGACGCGTTTTGCCTCGTTCCCCTTGTAGTATTTACCTATTCCATAATTATTGCACCTTAAGTACCTAGTATAATCTGTTTTGTTAGCCTTCTTTGGTGGAAACCTGCCTTCTCAAAAGCATATTTCTGAAGAGAATTTATGTGCTTCATCCTCTGTTTTGAAGCACATACCCACACTAGGAATCAAAGCTTGGTCCAAGTCTTCTTTCATTTAAAAAAATAATTCTCATAACCATTTCAGAATTATATGCTTACCATTTACACTACTAAAACAAATAGCCTTTTTTTTAAGATCTACTCAACTCAAATTACCGGCAAGGCCAATATTACACTTACATGGCTGTATTTATGCTCATCGTAAATGCGGTGTCACAATCAGCGATGGGTCAGCAGTTGCGGGTGAGAACAAAGTTATGCTACATCCTTCTTGACACTGAATGAGAATAAAGCTTAAAATGTATGAAGTTGTACAAACCTTGAAATGGAATAACCAAGCACTAACCCTCGGTGCGGCAAAGCATGCTTGCGGTGTGCGGTTTCCTTGATTGCTTCTTTCATTTGAACCATTCCCTGGATTCCTTGATTTTCACCAACCAGTAAACTATCGACAAAGTTGCGGCATGGAGTGTCAACTGTTGCATCCCTATATTGCATCTTGTCGCCTCTTCAACAATGACACCCTCTTCGTTCATCTCTGGAACACATCTATTCTTTCCTACTTCATCAAATTGCAGCCTTCTGGTTGCCATCCTTATTCACAGATCAACAAATGTTTAGGGCCCTTCAAGACAATTCTACATATTAATCATCATTACTCAATGTCAAACAATTCGGAAACAAAAACTCTCGAAGCATACACCTCTCCTTTCTTTTTCTCAATCTCTTATATTTTTCTTTCCTTATACAAATCATTATTTTTTTGCCTCTTGATGCATGCAGATTCATAAATTTCTTTCATAATAATCGGATTGTTTCTCTAAATCTAATTTTCCATCTCTCTTTCCTATGTTGCTTTCTTGCTCCTACCTGCAGCTTCAATTGGGTTGATTGGGATCAGTTGTCATTTCAGACATGGCACATGTATGCACAGAGCAGAAACTAATCTCCACAAATTAGTCAACAATCAGTCCCATTGAATGAACTGGTTCAACAATCTATAAGAGTGTATCCATAAATTGGGGACGCAATCAACAGGAAAAGAATCAATAAGAGTCTGTCCCATTCACTGAACAGGTAATTCATTTTTCAGACCACGATCTAATCTCCAAAACAAATTTATGATCATGTAAGTTATTATGGACCAAAAATTGTACAGGATGCACTCCTATTGAATGAGCCGGTTCATTCAATCCGACATATTTCATCCATAATTACCTGTCCTCCATAGCCGGTTCCCTCCAATCTTTAGGACAGGGCAATCCACCGATGTTGGTTCCTTGGTCTGAGTAGCCTGCGTCGTCCCTGATCGAAGAACGAGCGCACGGTCAGGTTCTCGGGTGGTTGACAGCGACCGCTACTGCGCGACGCAGAGTTACGCGCGCACAGCGAGCGCACGGTGAGGGCGGCCGCCACCGCACGGCGAGCGAACGGCGAGGGCTGCCGCGACCTCACGGCGAGGGCGGCCGCGACCGCACAGCGAGGGCCAGCGCGAGCACATGGCGAGGGCAAGCGCACTGTGGTGTTCTTGGTCGGTTAGCCAGGAATTTGACTTCCTGCTCGGAGTAGCAACCGCATGGTGGTGTACGCTGATAGGGAAGAAGGAGCGCACGGTCGACGGTCGTGTTCTCGTTCGGATGTGTTCCTCGGACCTCGGTTTCTTGTCCCGGGCTGGGCTGCAGCGGCCTAGGTGCATGGGCGCGAGGGAGAGTTTGCACGCTCGGTCCCGATGTGGGATGCACGTGCGCGCCTGTAGGACGCTGGGTACCAAATAACTCAGTAGTACCCGGGTACCAAATAGGGTTGGCCTATATATATATATAATAATAAAGAACTACTTAGTATCATTCTAGTAATAATACTAGGTAGTACCAACAAGCATCTCTGGCATCATCACTAGGGATGACAACCTAGTAAAGTAATGTTAAGAGATGTAGACATACATTAGGTGACTACTAAAACAAGTGACAAGTTAATAAATACCAACAGATACAAAGATGGATGTGGATGAGGAAGGGTGTGCAAAGGTGGGGAGATTTGTTGGTGATGTTTCTTCTTCACACTCAGATTTGGTGGGGCAGGCGGACTGGTCCTGCGGGACCCAATGAAGCTTATAGCTTAGAACTATCGAGGGTTGGGAAACTCCCCGACAGTTCGAGGGCTTCTAAAGTGTCAGAAGTCCGAGGAGGCGGACATTCTTTTCTTGTTCGAGACGAAGCTAGATGAGAGAAGAATGGCGACAATTTGAGTGCAGTTGGGGATGGCGAACATGGAGGTGGTGGATTGTGAAGGAAAAGGCGGGGTCTTGTAGTGTTATGGCGGAGAGGAGTTGATTTGGTATGTCACAGCAAGTCAAAGTACCATATTGACATGGAGGTCTCAGAGACAGGGGGGGGCTGGTGGCGATTCACGAGGATTTATGGCGAGGCTCGCACTGATTTGAAGTATAAAACATGGGAGGAGAAGGAGGGAGGAGTCCCTCGAGCGTTGTCCTGCTTGGACCGCTTTAAGATGGCGTTTGAGAGTTGTGAGCTACATGACCTGGGTTTTTGCGGGGATGTGTTCACATGGTGAAATAAGTAGCTGAAGGGGAGCACACATGTGAGAGAAAGGCTAGATAGAGCTATAGCAAATGGTGAATGGAGAGGGAAGTTCCCATGGTTCTAGTGAGAAATAGGGACATGTATAGATCAGATCACAGGCTGGTGATTATTCTCACTGAGAAAATATAAGGAGGTAGACCGATGAGAGGTGATAATGGGTTTAAGTTTGAGGCCAATTGGTTAAAAGAGGAGGACTGCAGGCGTGTTGTAGAGGAGGCGTGGATGCAGGAGGAGAGTGGGGAGAATCTTAGTGCAAAACTCAAAAGTGTTGCTAGTAGCCTGAAGTTGTGGAGCTCAAATAGTTTAGGAGATTTGGAGAAGAGGTTGAAGGAAGCAAAGAGGGAGCTGGAGAAGTGGAGGCGAGCGCCAATTAGTGACCATACTGTCGCCCGGGAGGCGGTTTGGAGCTTCAAAGTAGATCGTTTGGAGGATCAAATAGACACATATTGGCGACAACGTGTGTTGGCGGTCATTATCAATCAAATCCGACCACCAATTATAGTCCAAAACAGGAGAAATAAATAATCTTTTGACACATATGCCTTTACTATTGACATAGTTCCACTTGTATTGGAGAAAACATGTTTTGCAGGACACACATTCAAATACAAGTGGAAAACAAACAAAATGCGCAATCCAAAAGCGTAATGTAGATTCTATGCCAAAGAGCCAAGCAAAGGCCCACTCCAATGAAGCATTTGGGCGAGCACCGACATGGCAATGGCCTAGGCCCATAGAGGAACCGACCATGCGAAGGCAGTCGCGCGGTGGCCCCACCAGGGTGCGGGCACACCAGGGGTGCAGCCGCACCCATGCCACTGCCTCCTGGGCTCGGCTTCCACTGGCGGTTGCATGCCGCCTTGCTACGTCGGTCCATGGTGGTTTTCAAAAATGCCTATGCCAAACCGACCATGGATTAGTATAAAAGAGAGGGTAGAGCTCACTTTCAAAACACACATCATTTGGAGCTACACCTCACTACCACATCTTGTACTTTTACTTTCTTAGTAGTATTTGGAGCTAGCAAAGCTATCAAGGAGGGCTTGGCTCCTTGGAAGAAGAGCAACTTTGGTATGAATACTATGAAGAGTTCTTCCATAGCCTTGTTCTCATATTATCAATATAGCAATGCATATGAACTAGACTATAGTTTATAATCATGATATATGAACTAGCATATAGTTTGTATGTAATGATGTTGACATGGAGAACTTTATGCTTAATCATTCATATGACTTATATGAGTAGAAGTAGAGCTAAGTTGAGGTGGCGGTTCATCATGCCTTTGGGTATGCCCAAGTTCTTTACCTATCGATCCATAGGGTCGGGGACCCGGGGGAATTTGGGTAGTTTCTGTGTACGCAAGCATGGTGCTTGGGTATGGAGAGACATGTGAATACATTTCCTACTCTCCGGTTGAGGGGTAGGTGGCAGGTGGTGATAGCCCTATCCGTCCCTTTGTAATCCCCCATGTTCGGGTAGGGTGCAGGAGTCTAAATTGTCACACGAGGTTGTTGGCAGACCAGTACTCGGTGGCCTCCCGACCTATCTTAAGCTCAGCTCTAGCTCTAACCATGTAATTTGTATGATTATCACTTGTTCTTTGCACGGCTATATTAGAACATGCCTGCTCCACGTAGGAATATTCTTTTATTCTTTGTTTTCCTTTTATCCTTGAGGTTGGCTCAGATATGTGTCCATTATCCATGAAATACCATTTTTACCCCTGTCATGAACTATGGTCCACTATGCAAGTATGTAATCTTGTTCATGCTCATGCTAGACTCTTACACCTTGCCCTCCTTTGGGAAAATATAAATAATGATACCCTAAAAACTTTCGGGTGAAATGCTACAACGATAGATCCGTGCGCTTGCGGATGATTTCTGTAATCATTAAGAACTATCGTAGTTCGTGTTTCTTGGCGGCGGCACTAAGGTTAACTCAATCTTAGTGATGGTGCTAAGAAATACCAACAATTATTTCTGGCGCCGTTGCCAAGGATGGACTTAAAACCTTCACACTTGGTGATGGCGCTAAGAAATACCAACAGCGTGCTCACGTTAATTGGCTGCAGTTTGGGGACAA